CTGCTGGTGCCAGTTTGAAATAGAGGATTTACCAACTGCTGTAGCATCCACTGAACACACTTAAATGAGATTTCTTTGTGAGGAAGGAAACTTCTTCCAGAGTCTTCCAAGCTTCACAAAACTGTTATTTTTTTAGCAAGAAACTTTCTTTTGGGACTAGACACCAACTGCATTTGAATTTCCCCCACTCATATCGCAGCAAAATAATAGGCAGTGACTTCACGAGTCCTTTGTTTATCTGAGTGCCTTTGAAGCAGGGATGAGATCGAGGACTTTAACATGTTTCCTGAAGCATAAAAACATTAAATAATCAAAGACCTTTAGCAACCTCTGGCGATATCAAATAAGGTGATACAACATCAGGCATTTAACTGGATCTTTTCACTTGAAAAGTGAAAAGGAGTTTCCAGGAGATAGCACCTAAATTCTGCTAAAATCACAGACTTATTCTAGATCTGTACAACTTCAAGGGCTGAAGTTGATTCACATGCTACGATAGGGCTCTGCTTCCACTCACACCCAGAAACAGAGGAGAGTTGTCAGACATACCTGGCACCTAGAGGCTGCCACTGTTATTTTGTCAGATCTTCAAAAGTGCCCAAGACAATGACCACTTCAACAAAGCCGGCTACTTCATTTGTGTCTAAATGGGAAAGACAAACCTTTGAAAATTTCATCACCTAACTGTCAAGTCATGGTCATTTATTTGTTTTTAATTTCTTATGTTGTCTATCTGCCAAACAGTTGAGAACTCTGAACACCAGAATTGAGTGGTAACAATAACTGTTGTAGTCCTACAGACTGCTAAATTATTATACTGGGTAGGTGCAAATGATAACACCATATAATCAGGATTCTGAAGTACAAGTCCAAATAATCCATGGTTTATTGTGTAATCAGGCACCGTTTTACCTCAGAAGGTCCCCAAACTCTCTACTACTATACATCACTGACCCTGTAATTAGGTGGTCTGCAGCTACCAGAGGGTTAAAAGTACTTAATAACCTTGCAATTTAAGTCTGCTATAAAATGAGTACATTGCACCCAGCTTGACTGGCAAAACTGGGTTCTCTATACAAGCCAGGAAAAGGACTTGCTATCTCAGAGCCAGCTTTACCAATAGTTTGGAGCTCCTCTGTATCTACTGCTCTGCTGGGTCTGGCTGGGATGGGGTTAACACAAGCACTAAGCAGTCTGCCATGTCCAAGTGCTCAGGAAGTGCCAATTGCCAGACTCTCCCCTCTTGACTTGATGTCATTTTAAATATATGCTGTATGAAACTCCCTGTGTAAGGCCAAGTCTACTGTACGGGGTAACAGCCGTTGTCAGGTTCTAGCCCCCAGTATGACGGAGGTTCAGTATTGCTTCTGGAAGGCAAAATCCACATTGCCTGCAATCAGCACTGGGGGTCTAGCAGTTTTAAGTGGAGAATTGAACTTTTCCTTGGGACTCCTGCACACAGTTTTTTTTCTAAGTTAGGCACCCACCTCACACTGTAGACAGGAGACAGAAATGCAAAACGTGAATGCCTTTAAGCAGCTTTCTACAAGATCATCACTGTTCCTAAATCTACACAAGGTCTTATACCGGTCTTTACCCAGGAGCCTTAGACAACCTTTTTACTATTGGGAAACCTGGCAAACCCTGAACCTGGGGTGGTGTGCTCACAGGCAGAAATGATAAGGGATGTACAGAACTCTTTATTCTGTAGAATTTTCTAAACATCTCATGCTTAGCTAGATCAGAGTTACTCCTGTCTGCCAGAGAGGTGACAAAGGCATACGTAACTAAGGCCAGGGCAGTGTGCTGGCTTGAAGTCTCCAGATTCTTTTCACAGCACCATGTTAAAGAGCAGCTGAACCATCACTGATAGAAGCAAACTTCAGCTGGAGATGTGAAATACTTAATATAACCCAGTTCCAGCTGAACTATGTAACACACTCACCGATGTGGGTATCATTAACTTAGTACCAATTTAGCAGTGTTTCTCAGTTCCCCTTTACAGGCTGTATTGACCAATGCTACGTACCTCCAAGTAAAGAAAACTGCTATGTGTTTATACAACTACTTTGCTCAGTACCTGGCCTCATACAGAACTGAAAGTGATTCTAATGAAGATGGAGTTACTGTTTTTCAATAAAAGCACAAGTACTTGTAAAAGGTCAATAAGATTTACTCTAGTGTTGGCTTAGAGATCATTTGTTATTCAAATGACAAAGGTACTATGTTTATGAAGTACAGTTAGTGATCAATGGCACTACCTGTTTATCAGGCAATCCTTTGCATTTCCATAATTTCTCCATGCAATAAGACTTGAGCTTCACTTACTCAACATCAGCAGTGGAGGCTCAGAAATAATCACAGATTATTGCTGAGATCTTCCAGAAAGTATTTTAAAAACAGTCTATCAGCTTCTTGTTCTTGATGAGCCATTTCAAATGTCAAAATGTTGGGTCACATTTTTCAATAGCAGCTACAAAAAAGCAACGTTATTAAAGTTTTAACTCTCCATCTTCCATGACAGCCTCTGAATCAGGCATGGAAGTGCAGGTCTAAAAAGAACTTCTAAGAATTTTTTTTTTTTACTTTTTCTAGTTGCTTTACTTTTTAATAGTTTCTAGATCTATCAGCATTTTCTAGGCATCCTTTAGATCATCACAGAGCAAATTTAACAAAAGGATTGCTTTTATTAATGACCTTTTACTCATCCCTGTGAAGTCATTCCAAACCCTGCATTGTCTCGTACCACAAGTTGAAAATCAGTGATGCATTACAGCTATCTCTACATTCAAGGATTTGAAAACCATCACCAGCCATTCAGGAGTGCATTCTAGAATTCCATCATACCACTTAGGTGCCAACATAGAACATTTCAAATCTGAGAGCAGCTATAAACAAGGAAAGAAAGAAATCTGGAGGAGAAAACTGTTTATTAAGGTCATCAGTGGTTTGTAGAAAGACTCCTGTGAAATTGTTCACTTAACAGGATGTCGTATCATTGTTTATGGGCCAAGAAGAGTGTCCATATCACAAACAGTCACACCAAGGCTCCACTGGAGTCCAATCAAACACAACTTTTCTATTTACCATTTTCTTGACTTAAATTTGCACACCAGGCCCACTGGGCTTGGTGAATTCTACTTGCTTCCTAAAAAAAGAAAGCAAACCCTAACTATTAACAATGCTTTTGACTTCTCTTGTCACCATCTGAGACTTTCAAAGCACATCACGAGCATCAAAAGTCACTGTATTGTATCACTACCACTTATTTGTGGACAGGGAACACAAAACTTTGGTATTTAAGGGTCTACCTAATTTCAGTTACCATCTATGAAAAGTCTGACTCTGATTTTAAGTACAGTTGGATTTCTGCCTTAATGCACCACTAAGAGTCACAGAGCAATTCAATGGGAGAGACAGAAATAGAATACAGCTGTCCCAATTCCCAGACTCCATTCCAACCAAATGACTATGTGGCATCCCAGCTTGGTGCTTATAAAAATACACCAGCTGCTGTAGTTTGCATCTGCAAGCTATTCTCAAACTGCTTTTAAATGTATCTTTGGTCATATTCAGGCTCAGCTGAAAAGGCCCAGGGGGAAGGAAGTGACAGAAGAGTTGAGATGCATATAGACTTTGTGCCTCACAGTCTGCTCAGCAGAAGCAGGTATCAAATGACTCAACAAACTTTTACTCCAGTGCTACACATTCATTCACTCAGCTCCCCTGGGATGCACAGAGCATGCCAGCCAGGCAGATGTGAAGAGGAAGCCACAAGAAGATCACAGAAGCCATTTCTAAAAGCCAATACTGCTCCTGGTCTCAGCATATACCTCACCGGTCACATACGTGCCTTTATTGTCCCATAAAGCATGACATCCAATATTTGGCCTATAGAACAGCTTCAATTATAATCTCTGCCCCCAAATGGCAGCTGAATACCCACTGATTCTCACTTCATGCTGTTTGCTTGTAAACAAACCCATTAAGCACCAGGGAAGTCTATTGGTATTACATTGACTATGAAAGTTATAAAGATGCAAATTACATGAAGGTCTTTGTTGTTATGTAGCTAGTAGTACAAGATAAAAATCATCTTACTTGAACAACTGGTTGTGGCGATCTTCTTCCTCCCCTCCATGTCTCTCTGTTGTGCATCAACCTTCATCTGAATGACTATGAATGATGGGCAGGGGAACAGTTTTAAACTGAGTACTCTATGAACTTCCCTCATATTAACCAGGTAATTCACTCAACCCTCCAAAGGACAGACCTGCTGACTTGTGCTCTACACAATGTGCACATCTCAGCACTGTATTAGATCTCTGGTGGCTTCTGTCATTAGCCAAGTACAAGCTGTAGTGGTTTCCAGTTGATTTCTAGCCACTAATCCATACTTTTGATACAGTGAAGGCTTGGATTTTAAGTAACAGCTTCCAGTTTCACTGGTGCCATTAGTGATGGGTGCAAGTGATAAAAATAAAAAGGGCCCTAACCATTCTCTTTGCCACGTGCTTTGCAGACCCAGTACCAGAAACTGTAAACTGTATCACTACTATTTGCTAAGACCTTCCCATAAATGGTCCATGCTGGAATCAGAGAGCAAAAACTCCAGTTGTCTTCACCCTGCTGGTAATGCCAAGCAATGAGCTTTCTTATAAGCTCATATAAGGGGAAGAAATCCTTGCCAGGATAAAATTACCATCTTCTTTTATACAAGTCCTTTTGAAACACTGCAGCAAAAGCTTACAAATCAACTGTAACCTAGCCCTGATTAGCCTGATGATGATCTGCAGCTACCAAAACTCTTGAAATAATATCATATTTATGCCCAACACAGCTGACATGATTACTGCATCCTCTCACTTGCTCAATCATTTCATACATCTACAGGTGTATGTACATATGTATGGTAGGTGTAGGTGTACGTACATACATCTACACTTCATTCTAACTCTCTTGGGATGGACAGTTTCAGTTTTACTTTGTACAGTACTTACCATAACGGGATTCTGATCTTCACCGTTGCTGTGCTGCAGGACTCTTAAAAACCAGTAGCCTAAAAGATAAAATGACTGATCTTACTGCAGGAAAAGTAACACACGGTGAGCAAATTTAAGCCCTCATAAAATGAGCAGACCAAATAACTTAGTAACTACTCAGAACAATAAAGCCACTAGAAAAAAGTCAGGAACAGTTCATTAGTAAAAAACACACCCACAATGCATATGCATGCTGTGACGGTGTGCTCCCCCCTCGTCTCTGACCCCCCCCCTCCTTTGCCTCTTTCAGGTGATAACTACCTGTGGCTGTGGTGATAGATGCATCTGATAGATGTGTCTGGGCGTGAAGGATGCACCCACTGGATGTGGGGGGAGACAGATAACAACGCAATAGCCAAGGGCTATTGTGGAATGTGCCCACCTAAGCACAGTGGTCAGTATGCAAATATGACTATGAGCCAATCATCTTACCCCCATAAATAGTGAGCAGCCCAAGAGCCCTTTGAGCTCTCCTGCACGGCAGCGGGCTGCACGCCAGGATCTCCCCTTGAGCAGGGACGCCTCTCAAGGTTACTCCTCGAGGTTGAGAGATTCCTTACCACGACATATTCTCGGTAAGTGACTAACAGCATGCTACCTTGGAAATCTTAGCTAAGTGACATAAAGGATTAATTGCACGTGTATAATCCTTTAGGCATAAACCGTTGACCAAGTGTGGGACTAGGATTGGATCCAGCCGCACCTAGACTCCTCTCTGAGGGAGTTTAGAAAGCCAGGGGATCTTTTCTGAACCTCATGACCCAACGGGAGGGTCTCCCTGACAGTTTTGTCTGACCCTGTCCTCTGTGCAGTAAATAACAAAGTGTACCTTGCCATCGAATCTCAAACTGTTGTCGCAGTTACCACTGAACTTTGTTAACTCACTGTTTTACACCAATAAACCACATTATTTTTGCTTCCCTCTCACTCCATCCGCGACACATGCTCAGAGGCACACAGAAACAATGGAGGGGAAGAGAGCAATACTTGAACTCAATGTTATCTATTTCAACCAGGTCAGCTGATGTGTCTGGTACCTGAAATTAACTTTGTCAAGAACACCAGATCCCTGTTCAAAATCCCTCTCTACATCTGATTCCAGTTTGCACCACCATTAAGAATAGCTGCTCTTGGGTGTTGTGTACAGGTAGGCACAAATGCAGCTGCCTTCCTGATGTGATGCCATCAGCCCCATTTCCCTTTCTTAGCAGACCAACATAGACAACTTGAAGGCAAATCACATTTGCACTGCATCCTTAAAGCAAGACTTAAGGTCACTTTACTGAATATTTATACAAATAAGCACCTGTCTTTTCCAGCAACTGAAAACAACAGTAAGAAATAAAATTATTTCATTTTAAAAGCTGCTACAGAAACGTCTGAATTTCAAGAAGATGTTCTACAGCCAGCCACAAGGGCCAGTTCTGGAACTTTTCATTCTGTTCTTACTCCATCTTCTTATCTGTGCTCCCACCGTGGTCCCTGATCTCTAACCATGGGGCATCATTATGGATGTCAAGCCTTTGGGAGCTTCTGAGCCCTGTGCCTTTGACATCTGAGCAAGCAGGGACTGGCAGATGGGATTTTCAAATGTGCTCTGTGTTGACTGCTCCCAGTGAACTTGACAGAACAAGCTGCAAGTTGAGGATTGGGGACTTTAAAATCCAAACCAGCATTTTCAAACACTTTGCGCCAAGCACTAAATCTCTTTTCAACTCTTCTCTTGCTCACAAATTTGCTCCTTTTCACACCCAATTATGGCTTATCTACCATGATTAGGATGTGTTAGCAGCAAGTGTAAAGGAACAGCATAGAGGAAACGACTTAGCATGTTATTCCTTTAATGGCTACCTGTAGTAGTGACCTCCTATTTACAAACCTCCAACTGACTTTGCAAGTTACTTGACAGTGTGAATCAGACTTACTTTTTAAACGGAAACTGGATGTCCACCATTTCTATCATACCAAATCCAATTTCCCTGAATCTCTTCTTGCTATATTGTGAAACTCACCCAGATAAAAACCAGTATTTGGGCAAGGTATACTGAGCTATAAATTTGCCTTGTCCAATCACTAATTCCCTGTTGGAAGTGAACAAGAATCTCTTGAGTGCTGTCATTAGCAGCTGTGAAAAAACAACAGGCTGGGCAGCTGCCTTTTGTTGGAGCCGGGCGGCCAGGGGTCTTGCTTGTTGTCTTAAGTGACACTGTTTGGTTTGAAAGATCCTGCACTGTGCCTGGAACAAGAGACTGGGCACAGTGATATTAGTTCTGAAGATGGCCACTTTCTTCCCAAATCACAGAGTTGTCTTGACTAGAAAACTACAGAAATGACCCTGCATAAACATTGCGGAGATAATTACAAAATAAAGAAACATTACAGTGAACCCATTGAGATCTTTAATTCCAAACTGCCACCACCGCAGAAGGAACAAACTGTGAGTTAGACTGACTCTTAAGCATACAATTAAGCCTGTCAAGTTCTGACTCTGTAATATGCTGTTTAATATTGAAAAGTCTGTCAGTAAACCAACTTGTGGGATTAAAGTCATAATGCTTTGGGTTTGCTTCCTCATGAAGCTATAAACCAATTTAGCTGATATAAGCAGCATGTTATTTATACTCCTTCTGGCAACGTTTCAGTGCTGTGTGGGATACTCCCCCTTCCCTCTAACGCAATAGCCTTCCCTGGCCTTTATGGATTGAAATTGGTGAGGGGAGCTGGGCTTCCTCCATGCGGAATTTACACAGTAATTCTATTAAGAGCTTCCCTGCACAGAAATTAATGTTCTCATCTCATTCAACACTCATCCTATTAATGATTTAAAACAGAAGACCTAATCTCTCCCTATACCAAGTTTCCTCAAAGGATTTTCTATTAGTTTCAAGGAATTCAAAAGATTAAGCTTTAACACTTCTGCGTTTGCAAAACTATGAAACTCTGGGGCTTACAGTTAGGGCAGCAGGATTTGCCATTTCTGGAACTTCTGAGAAGAAGGGTTTAAACTGGAGTTACAGCAGCTTCAAAAGAGGCCCTTTACTGCTCTTCCTCACCATTTTCAGGCCACACTTCAAATGACATTCAGCATTAGCCAGCAGATCTCACCAGATTCTCTAGGCCAATTCATTCACCTGGCTTTAGTTAGCAGCTACCCCCAAAAAGGCCTTAGAGCTCGTATCAGAAACAAGTATTTCCCACCACAGGCGCTTGCACTGAGCAACAGCAGGACTACAGCCAGGGCTTGGTACCGGAATAGAGAGGAACATGGCAGAGGAGTCGCCTTCATTTCCCCTCCTAGATTTTATATTCCCCACTACAGAAAGTTAATGGAAAAACTGTTATTGTTCCTCAGTGGTTTTGGTTTTTGATGAATGGCAACAAAGGCAGCTGGGCTGTGAGATGGTGGCACTTCTCTAGCTGGGTACATCTGCCCCACCGGGGCTCGCTTGGGCTAATGCTGGCTGTGACTGCAGAGGGTTGCATTTCTGAAGCTTAGTTCATATGTCACTAAATCCACTGAATCGTATCTAGGCCCACTTACTTAGCAAATTAATTTTGAGGACTAGGTAGATATAGCTTATTTGGAACCCTGCCTCCAGCAGTGATTAGTATTTAATACAGGATTTGTAGGTTAGGTGTGTTACCTTTTATTATAGTGATTTCTGTCACTGGGGAACACTGACAATGTTGGGGGATCTGAAGTCCTTTTTTAGTCCTAAGAGGAGAGACAAACTTTCAGACACAAATGCCTTTCCTCAGCTCTAAGCAAGGTCTGTATTCCTGAAAGCTTGCCTGCCTTGTAGAACAATGCTATTGGCCTAATAATAGGGACCATATAAAGATCGTTGTGGGTGTGCCCACTCTGGCATTCTGATGTGATTAAAATCAAGATGAAGAGAAGCAGGAATTACACGTCTTACAAAAATACAGTACATCCTCCTGCAGGGCAAACTATTTACATATTCTGATGCATGAGGAGCTGCATTTTAGAAAGGATCACACAGGAAGAGAGTTGTCCACCTCTTACTGATATCCATCTCCATGATTTTCTCCCTGATTAGTTCAATTCAAGGAACAAACTGGGAGAAGTGATACGAATAAGCTGTGCTTTTAGATTTTCCAGAGAAAACAAAAGAGCTGATTTGCCTCTCATTTCTGTTGGCAAACAAGTCATTCCTCAATTACAACACTGTTAACAAGAGGAGGTTCAGACAGAACAACGTAGATTTGCAGTCATTGCAAGAAACACAATTCAGTAAGTAATCAAGAGGATAAAATTGTTTAAAGAGATGAGAAGCTAAAAACTACGGTCCCAGTGACAGTTTACACTTAATAAAAATTAATGGGATGCTTTAAATAGCCAGTGGATCTATTTCTCTTAGCCTTGCCCACAGAAGTGATGTCACGTAGGAAACCATTTAAATTAGAAGGCTGTGTGTCTTGTGATGTACTACCAAAAAGCCCAAGCTGTTTTAATAAGGGAATGCTCAGAGAATGGAAGAAGTGAATGGATTCTGGTCTCATTTTCTGACTCCGCCACTACAGCTCTGTGACCTCGCGTAAACCCCTTAAACATTCAGCACCTCTCTGTGAAACTGGTAACAAATGCAATGGCAGGTGGCACTGATTTCACACAACAATATTCTTTTATCCTATAGTTCAAGAAAAGAGCAGTTTCCATAACAACTTCTACATTTCAGGATTCCTAGAGGGATGACTAAAGACGACCAATACACTTCAGTTACAATACACTTCACCTCCGACAGTGACCAGAGCAAGGCGTCCCAAGGAAGATGTAAAAACGCAAAAATCTGCCAAGGAGAACTTTCTGCCTGACTCCAGGCTGTCACAGTGGACTGACTGCACAAAACATAGCGTTCTTTAAAACAGAGGTCAGTCGTGGGTTAGCAGCAGCCACTGTGAGCCCAGTGACAGACCTAATGCTAAGGCCCAGTTGTGACGAACGCTGACATTGAGCTAAGCGAGTACTGAGCACAGGCAGAGGGCCCAGGCTCCTGC